ATGATTCTATAAAGATCATCTGCAGCTGGGCTTCAAAACTGCCTACGTGGATTATTAGAGGGGTTTATTCAAAGTAACCCAAATAAACCACTTTGCTGTCAGGGTCAGTTGGTCGACCACTGAACAAAATCATTTCCTTGCCATAAAAACGGATGGTAAGGCATCAGTGAGATAGACCTTTTGGGAACAAATTTTTCCCAACAACCCCTAAGGGCAGGTTCATTGAGGTGATAGAATGAACTATACTACGCACGTTTGCTGCCAAAATTGACCACTTGTGTGAACTGGAGCCCCCCCCTGAAGTGGACAGAAGTTGGGCAGAGGAGGGAGGCTTCCTTGTCTGCCAGCTCTTTGGGTAGCAAGGCAAATTACGTAAGGGAAACAGCAGACTTCGAAACCCTAAGAGAGGTCCTCGGTAGATTCCGGTCATCACAGTTCAGTGATACTGTCAACTTGTAATCTGAATAAGTCGTTTTTGAAAGCATACATCAGGTTTAATATTAAATTTATTAAATCAGTGAATTAGTTAGGATTATTGACTTTTCAAGCAGGGGCAAGATAGAAACGGCACTACACCTTGATCTTTGGGGGATGAAGGTTATCTGTGTATAGGATGGACAGCTGTTTTTTAGGTCCCCCCCTAAAAAAAAATGCCTCCCCACCCAAGACGGGAAACTCCTCTGGAAATTGCCTTCATTTTGGGCTACTCTGTGCACAAGGCAATAAGCCTGTAACAAACCGACATACATATTCTGAAATTGGTCAGCGTATTGGCAATATTAAAGGTAGACACTCATGTTTGACGCCGTTGCTCCCCAAATTTGCTCTACAGAGAATTACATAATTACAAAGTCTTTTGCAAAGATGTTAACAAGATTTTAAAAATATTAATGAGCTGAGGCAAATCCGTTTGTGCTATGATTTAAGGAACTGTGAAGTTGATGAAGCTTTGTATTAGATCAGTTACGGAATAACATTGAATAAAATTGAATAAAATTATTTGCAATTCATACGTCCCCCTTTCAAGTTTCAGCTCTTTATTGAGAAAACAGACGATTAAATTTAAATAAGGGAAAAGTAATTGACGCTGGGAAATTCTGTTATTTCTGAGACAACTGACTGGGTTTTTCAGCTTCGCCGACCCCGAGATGTTTGCCCCGCAATCTGTCTAGAAATAGTGGACATGAAAATGGGTTGTTAGAAGATGGCACCCTTTGATTATATTCATAAAGTCTCAGGGCACATTTGAATATTTTCCCTCTCCACTGAGTGGATTGTTCTCGGTGACGTCATCATATTGGGTCACAGAATGAGTCACTCGCTGGGTCAATACCCATAAGTCACCGGGGCGTCCCAATGGGAATGCCATGGGAATGTGTGATGTCACAGAAACGGAAATGTGATTTTCCAATAAGTTCCGTTGAAATGTCAACGAGTCCATTGTGAAGAGAGGGAAATATAGGCCTGTTGCTGTTCATTAGTTATTTTGATAAAACTAGGCCTGTGCGCTCGATTTTGCACTGAAGGGGAAAGGGTGATTATAGCTCCTACGTCTTTGACGCTGATTCATAACTTGAGGGTGCAAGATTGGACAAGATTGAAAATTGTTTTAAAAACAGTCCATGTTAAGCGACCGGTCACAGCCCTATGAGTACAAAATTCAGCATAAAAATATTGGTAATTATAACTGAATTCAAAACTCTACGACCACTGTTAAATCTGTAGATGTCGGCTGCAGGATTGCAATGCTGTATAGGCGTGTTCATCTGATCCGAATCTGAGCTAAGCCGAGTCAATGAAGGCACGAGTTCGGGCCAAACCGAGTCAATCAAGGCCCGAGTCTGAGTCCATGTTTGTCCGAGTCCGTCTCAAGTCCGAGTCCGAATTGTCAAGTCCAAGCCAATTCCAGCGTCTAGGTGTGAAGTTTTCATAGCGGAACACCGGTGTACTAAAACTTGATGTCAATTTTAGACTGTTCGAAAGTGTTCAACTGTCTAAGGATCTGAAAATAATGAACAATCCTCTATGCATTAAGATTTATAGGCGTTTCTACATTCATAAATTATGGAAATGTTCTCAGTATCGACCAAGTCTGTATGAAAGAGTTACATGATATCACTCCGTGGTATTACTGATGATGATGATGAGTATGTAAATGATATGGGTATGTAAATGAGTATGAATATGTAAATTGTATGAGTATGTAAATGATATGACTATGTAAATGAGTATGTAAATGCTTCACTCAGAACCTGTTGACGCTGTGCGGACCTTGCAACTGTCCAGTCGGTAACTTGCTATGCTCGTGATGATTCTACACCAAAATTAGGATATCTAAAAAGGGTTTCGTGTTAAAGAATTAAACAAAAATTTGTAGACAAGAGATGGAAAACAGATTTTTAAAACAAATTCTCAATTTTTAATACGGTGTCAAAAAGACTTGATTCGAGTCTGACGAGCAGTCCGAGTCAGCCACTAGCCCGGAATCCAAGCCAAACCGATTCCAAAACGGCCCAAGTCCCAGCCGAGTTACGAATTTAAAAAAAAAGACTCGAGTGCGGACTCGAGTCCTCTTTCACTGCAGGATTGCAACTGAGAGCGGTGGTGTCATGTCTGATAAATTTCATTGCATGTGTTGGCAATCTGCTCAGTATGGCGTCTATGTCCCAAAGCCCATAAGTAGTGAAGAGAGCACTTAAGGTGCATTCTACTTAATCACTAGATTTCTGCACGTGAGCTCATTAAAGTTTGTGATCCTCGTACGGATTATTAGCAACAAGAGATGCCATTATCGGGACAGATCACAGAGATATTTCTATAAATCTTGAATTTGGGACTTGTGGCTCCTAAATTGGGGTATTTCGTTCACAAAACCTTAAACCTATGGGCCTATTATGAGATTAATAAGAAAACTGAACTTGTGGTCATAATCTTGAATTTCCAGTGAAACACGCGAGGCCAACTTGTCCTTGAGAGTCGCCAGGCGACGCTATTTCTATCCAATTTTGCCACAGACATTTGCACTGTTTGGCGTAATGTAGGGCGCCCTTCTCAGACTCAAAAACGTAAAATGGTCCACAGTGACTTCTTTTTTATGCTTATCAATTTAAAGCTTCTGCAAAATCCTAAAAAATAACAATCTCCAACCTGTATGAAGTCTTATCAAGAGTAGGTCATTTTCAGAAATAAAATCACAGCTACTTTTGTAAAAACGGGTGATTTTGTTGGTAACAAACAGCATTGGGTGAGCATCTAGGTCAGGTTGGCGTATTTATTCTTCCCTCTCCTTCCACCTCTGTGGTGGTTCAAACAGCCTGAGTAGCTGCAGGCGCCATTGAAACAGATCAACAACATTTCTGTGATCTCGGGTTCGATTCCCAGCCCAGTCCACTACCTGATTATGTGGGTGTTACCCAGAATATTCCTCTGGGGTTTTCCTCCGAAAACTGCTAGTGCTTCTCATTATCTCCTCTCTACAGGTTTTTTCAAGGGCGCTCGGTTGGTGTCGTTACCAGAAGTGAAATAATAGCAATAATTGTCCGATTCCTACTTTTTCGTGAGTGAAAAAAAAAGTATTGTGCAACATTTCAAAAATTCAAATTCGCTCCTCCTCATACATAATAATTTCTCCTGTTAGTGGGCTTGCATGACTTTGAACAAACTGCAGTAAAACAGACTCACCGGGCTATGGAGGCGTATTGCTGCTAATGCAAAAAAAATATTATTTCTTCTCGTTTAAACGACAAAGTTATCTCGTATCTCCTTTAAGCGAGATGTCTACGTGTATGTCGTTAAACGAGGGACTGAATCGTTTACATGTGATTATAAGTCGTTTAAACGAGATTTTTCTCGTTGGCTGCAATAAGCTTCCGTACCGAGCAACTGACATGGAAAGAAATTATTGAAAATTTTGCAGCTGCAGCTTTCAGAGTTATTGGGGGCGCCCTGTAAATTTAATTGACGCGAGTGGTACATTGCCGGTGGTGTTGCTTTCACTAGCACTAATTCCAGAAATTAGGGGTCCATCTATTTTCGTGTCCCTGTCACATCTGACCTATGATTTTGTAAGTTCAGAACACGTTTTATAATTTCCAGATGTGATGACTTAATGCAAATTAGGCTACCAAACAAATAGTAACAGTTTGAAATCAATTCCGGTGATATTTCCATGTCAAATAGGCGGAAAGGTCAGACGTAGGCCTAACCGGGACACCAAAATGTCACACTTTTGGACCCCTAATTTCTGCAATTACCCAGGTGGAAAGCAGCAGGTGGTCAAAAAGTGGGTGGTGGTTCTATGGGTCGCTACAGTGGTCTTGATGCATGAACTGCGATATTGGATCAAAGTACTCAGCTTGTACAAAGTTACGCGAAGCACAACATTGTGCGCTTATACATGGGGCCTTGTGGGGTACCAGAACGATGGGAAGTACCCCACAATGCCAGTTTTTACCTTGTGGGGTACCAAAATTGATACCCCACAAGAATTTCACAAACTGATATTTGGAAATAACTCAAAAAGGGGAAATTTTGATGGGTAAAAATCTGTCGCAAACTGAAGTGTTTTATACAAGGGGCATACGGTCGAAATTTCAACCTAGGAAAGTGAATTTGGTTTAAATTGGAGTGATTTGAAAATTTTTGCGTGTTGTGTGGGAGTTTTGTACAAGAGAACAAAGGAAATACCCCACGAGTATATTTGTGTAAGGATATGTGTACATGTACATGTATGCACATGGAGGAAGGATTTTCCTCCATGGCATGCGTAGGTCAAGTTACTTTTGGATGAAATGTAGGAAATAAACTGATACTATGCAAGACAATGGTGCCCCTCCGATTTCAGATTACTTGAGCATTTTTATTACTATCTTTTTTTTCCAAGGAAAAAAATTCTGACTGGACAGCTTTGGCTGGCGAGATTCTGTGCCGGATAAATATTGACCAACTTTGGCACGCACTCGATTCTGCGATATAACGACGGTGCTTTATGTACACCGCCACCAAGTGAGAGGAAAAATCCAGTTTTAAAGATGTCTACGTCTGGCTGCGTGTACGTGATATAGGCCGAACTTGTAAGTGACTAAACTGAAGTTGAGTATATGTAATTGAACTATTTTGAATTTCTGTGAATATTTGGGGCATGCTTAATCATGGAAATTATAATAACTATTTATGGGGGAAATGATGCGTAAGATTTTTTGATAACTTTGGCAAATATGCTTCATCAGAGCACCAGACAGAGATCGGGGATCTGGAGTAGGCCAAGGCAAACAATGTTGTTACTCAATAATAGTAACATAAGTAGGGTCAACCATGGGGTGTTTTCCTACCTCTAATCAATCATCTATGCATCAACGAGCGTCAACAAGTTATTCAAGCATATTTATGGAGTTTGTTTCATTTACACTATTATTATATCCCACTTCTCTTGTTCAATGTGTCATCTCTATTTTAAATGATATTAAAATTATTAGCCTAATTAGGCCTAGTACCAGTACATTTGATAACAATTTTTTTAGTGTTGATATTTGAGTGACAAAGTTGGGCCTGCTCATGCAGCCGGACCGGCTGTCACCATTTCATTTTCTTGCAAGAATCTGGAAGCAAATTTACTGTTTCTCTTGCACAGTGGCACACATTAGAGTCTCTAAAATATGATAAAACTGCTTTTAAATCTACTTGTGTGTATCGGCAATCATTGACGCTAGGTAGCATAGCATGACGGCATGAGTAAGCTTAGGCTAGCCCCAGGAGCATGACGAGCAGATGAGTGTGGCCCAGAGACTTGGTGTTAACATTTGCAGACCTCTGCACATCGACATACATTTATGCCCCAATGAATGTTGACTGTACCACCTCAGTTTCCCCTTCCTGCACCTGCTGACGGAAAGATTTCCATATACAGACATTACTTGACACCTGTGCACAAACCCTATGGGACTGGTCTGAAAAATTCCAAGTGTTTTCTTAGTAAGTGACTTTGTTGTTCCCCTCCTAACTTGAACTTTTTTGGACATGTTTTTGCTTTCTGATGGCTAATAGGTCATTGTAGGGAATAATTACTGGCATCCGTAAATGGAACTCTTCCCCCTCTGATTTTTGGGCTGTAACAAACTAGCCCTGTCACTCTAACAGTTTGCCTACATGCCCTAAGCCTACCATATACACCTGCCACAAGACTTGCCTAACAAACAGCACTTAGAGCAGTTTGCAGGTCTGAAGAACCTGGACCTTCCCCACACTAGTTCCAATCCTTTGTATTATTTCTGTATCCTCAGCCCTATGCCTTAGCTGGAAAAAAGGGCACAATTGCTAAATGCTCTGCTCGCCGCATGATCCACCTTGTAGCCGGCTACCAGTTCAAGTTGTCACAAATGATTGCCATTGATATGCCCTCAATATACATGTACATTCTCAATCCACCTCACAGCCATGTAACATCATAACCACCAACGGGATAGTTGGCTTAGACTTAGATTTTTTTCAACAATTCCTATTCATTTTGTGTTGGACTTGATTTTTTTCCATCATCAACTCCAACCGAGTGGCCAGTGATCTCAGGTGTAGCAGGGTACTCTGCAGTTACTCCTAAAATAAAACCTGAAATACTCATCCTTTGGAATAAAAGCTTTTCAAGATTATGATATACTGGTATGAGACTACTATTTCCCGATTTAAAGGCTTACGCTAGTCACAGAGCTTTACTCACCTAAGCACTAACATGAATAAATAGACTTAGAGGCCTAGTTCTTTAATTCACCCTAACAGCAAGTCTTTGACTTCCTGTTCTTTAGTCTCAATTTCCTCATCTCAACTCTGCTGTTGTTGAATGGGCATTAGCCATGGTCAGAATCTTTTTAGGTTGCAAAGCTATTGCGATAAACACATAGATTCCCAGTGCAGGTGATGTTTAAGAACATTAAAGAAACAAATTCCAATCCATGGAAGCTTACTTGCACTTCTTGGGGTTGAATGTGAAATTGTTTCCTTATAGATGGGTACACATTTGCGCATTACTACCTCGCAATGATTGGCGACTTGTTTCATCCAGATATACGTGCATTTCCTGCAAACACACACCTTCATTATCTGTCCAGTTGCCTGCCTGCCATTAAGTTATTGATAAACCAACTGGTGCACTCTTTATGTTTATCTCACTGGTTCCCGTACCCATAAGATCCTCACCATGTATGTTGCCCATTCAAAGATCAGGAATGAATTGGTGTACAGTAAACAAATGGCAATGCTGAGACAACAGAACAGAGACCAAAGTTGTATGAATAGGAACAGTTGAGTAGCAATTCAGGTGAATCCATGAACTGCTTGGGTGAGTGGAGTTGTATGAGAAGTATGAGGCTCATAGGAAACTTTTTTACAAAGTCCCCACTTTTGGGGGGGTTGGGTATAGGGCCAAGGATATGGAGGTAGTGCCGTAGACTGGCCCTAGTCTGGGCCTAACTTGGTCCCCGCTTGTCGCCATTTTTAACATCTGGAAATGATCTTGTGATAAAAGTAGATGTAGTGGGGGAACAGTGTCATTAGTGACAGTTCTGTTGTTATCTCCTGACTGAAAGTGTTTTTCCCTCAAACTCATTTTTTTCCCTCCGCAGTTTCCAGGGTGAACATCTGACAATCTTGGCTATCACCCAGTGTCAAGAGATCTGATTTTCTTGGAAAGAAAATGACAAGAGTACTTGCCAAGTTGACATTGCTTTAGGTATGAGACGCCAGAATCTATCGTTTGACTCCGAACTGCGTCATTACCTTCACATGAATCCATCCGAGGGTGACGAGGATTCCAACCACAGACAAAGTATGAGTGAAGGAAGCCTACCAAGCCAAGGAAGTGCCAACAACAGCAGGTGCGAATCAACCTGTTTCAGTATTAACTCGTTGGCTTGTGTCCAACAACAATGTTTTTGCCAAACTTTCTGTTGCTGCCCTACTTAACTTTCAGAACCTTTAAAATTGCAGTGTCATGAAATTTTTCGAATGCAAGTCATGTCCATGTTTGTGACTCATACACAAAACAGAGCATTCTCTATCTGCATGTGCTTTCCTTTTTCAAGAAAAACCCAAATGCTGCACCTTGGTTACGGCAAATTATCTTACCTCGTTAAGTTGAATCTCCCAAAAAGAGATAAGAATACATTTCCTAACTTTCAACTTGGCAAAAACCACTTCCCCCTAATTTAGTGTAACTTCAATTCAATTCTTCAGGTCTTCTCCAGGTCCCAGAAAAAAATCGACCACCAGGTCCCCATCGAGATGTGGTTCAGTGTGTCGGTTATTGTACAACTTCATAAGCTACATAGTAGCCAGGTTCTGGGGGCTGTGTACCGCCTGGATACTGGTACTCGTGCTTGTCTACTTTTTGTATGGCACAACGTTAGCTCTGTTGTCGGTATTGGTTGCTATTGTGGGTAAGTAGGCTACTTTAAAATCCACCCTTTGATGGATTAGGCTTTGTAAATTAACCAAAGTGAATGTGGCATGCACAGTTGTGTGTGTAAAAGGCATTACCAAGAGAGCCAACGCGTGAACCAAAGTGTGCGTGCACTCCATTCGTTTACACTACATTTGTGGGTTCAAATGACGGCACGCTTTGGTACTCTATAACATCTGTTATGAACTATTCAGGGGGCATCCCGATGAGTGTTATGAACTATTCAGGGGACATCCCGGTGAGCCTGGTTTTCTTCTATGCATTCTTAATCTTAAATATGGAAAAGTTTAGTGCTGTGGTCTGTGAGCCTTACTGGGTGAACTATGTTCCTATCAGTGTGGACTTTGTTACCAGTACCTATGTTTTTGTTGTATTGAATTCTTGATATTTAAAAACTAGTTCTAAAAATACATGAATGAGAGTTCTAGAACCAGCATCTAGTCCTTGACCAAGAGATACAGATTTGGATGAGTAGCCAGTTAACTTTTAACCCTACCAGTCCCGAATCCTCCAATGTTAGGGAGTAAGGGTTACTTTCCTTTCCTCTTCTATTCAGGACTAGTGTACAATATACAGGACAACCTTCTATATTTCCCTGAGGAGCCAGAATCGTCCAGGTTCTACGTCGCTCCCGCCCAATCCACCGGTCTTCCCCACGAAGATCTGTATATCCAGACCTCGGACAGAGTTCGAATCAGTGCTGTGCTATTCAAGCAGGCCGAGCCACTGTTTGGCCGAGCACCGACGGTGTTGTTTTTTCATGGGAATGCAGGAAATATTGCACATAGGTAAGAGTAAGGCTGATATTTGGCTAAAACTGAGCTCTCCAAGATCCTTCAAAATCTACTAGGAGATCATGGAACTTTTTAATTTGTCCCTTGTAAGGTATCGGTGATTTTTCTTTAGAACTAGGTGGTACCATCAGCTCTAATTCAGATTTCCATTTTTCTTGTCAGGTATTTTAATGCACATGGACTATATGCCATGTGCGGCTGCAATATTCTATTTTTAGAATACCGAGGGTATGGACGAAGCGAAGGACGGCCCAGTGAGGCAGGTAGGAACATCTTTTTCTCATTTCAGTTAACCTGACTTTGTGGGACAGAAATAGGAAAAAGGGCAGAAGAGTGGTAACGTGTTGTCACGTAGAAAGCTTTTGACCCAAATTGATGAGGAACTTAAAGTGGTTGAATGACGGTCAGTTCTTGCTGTTCCTGGTGATTTTTCAGGTCTCTACCGCGATGCTCAAGCTGCCCTCGACTACCTCCACCGACGTGGTGATGTTGACACGCGACGCATCGTGGTCTTCGGTCGGTCACTAGGGGGTGGTGTAGCCATACATCTTACTTCCCAAGCCTGTAACAGAAGCAAGATAGCGGGCCTGATTGTTGAGAACACATTCACCAGCATCCCCGATATGGGCGCTGTGCTTTTTCACTTGAACCTCTTAAGATGGGTCCCACTATTCTTAGTCAAAAATCAGGTAAATATAAAAATCACTTTTGCTTAGATATACACAGTGAGTTCAGTTGGAGAACTTAAAACTCATACTCAATCTCAAAATAAGCAGGTAGACAAAACATTCAAATCTGGGATGAAAATGGCCTTTTTGAAATGTTAACTTTATTTTCGACTACATTGTAATTTCAGACTCCACAATCATTTTCAAATGTTCACTATGAGAAGGAAACAAGGAATAGTCCAAATGGCAAATTTATATTGAATTGTGCAGTGTTTCTACAGCAGAAAATAAAACTGCATTGAACTTGGCAGTCTGAAATTGAGGCATCTGAATTCATGAACTAAATCCTTGAGACCCACCCTTAGACAAAGCTGAAGTTTGGAAAATCACCACTGTGTCTTTCACAGTGGAGTTTTCTATTCCTTATTTAGGACACTGGCCAACGATTTAACAAAATATTGTTTTTTCTGTAAAAAGGTTTCACAATGCTGACAACTGGACAAGTTTTGTCCAAGTTTTGTCTTGCGTTTACTGGAGATTTTCCTTTTTATTATGTTCTGCCTGCATAGTATTTTTCTATCAACAAAGTCAAGCACATACGAACCTCCACTCTCTTTATCTCGGGGGTTGAAGATGAGCTGGTTCCACCCAGGATGATGCATGAATTGTTCCAGGTAGGATACAGGGAACCAGTCAGGTCCACTCCAACGATGTATTCTGTACTCTAAATCACTCGAATCATACCCCATTTACAATAGAATGTAACATTTTTAATCCTATGGTGAAGCATTAGTATAATTTCAAAGGATTTTTCTTGATTTCAAGACTTGATAGGAAAAATATTTGCTTTTGTGAGAAGGTCAATCACATTTTGTTATTTTTCTGCAAACTTCTCATCACAAAAAGCCATCGAATAGGGTACTTGTTTTCTGTTTAATACCCTGAAAGGACACTGCATTGTATTGTTTTCAAGAGTATAACCCATCTGATGGTTTTATTTATTTCTCTTCAACTCCTAAACTCACCCCATTTCAGTACTTAGAATGTGCTGAGGGTTTAGTGTACACTGACGTACTTTAGCACAAACTCATGAATTTTCCTACAAAAGTGCCTGAGGGGAGAATAGATGGCATTTATTAATGCGCTTCATTTTGCACATTTTCAGAGATGTGGAACCAAGAACAAGCAACTTATCAGATTTGAAGGTGGAACTCACAATGAGACATGGCGTTGCCAAGGTTACTTCACAGTCATCCGAGAATTTCTCACGCAGGTAAGCCTCGTTTTGCACAGCCTTTGAGGTAGTATTTTCTCGTTAATTGTTTCACCAATCCCAGTAGAGTACTTGGTATCATTCATGGATACCTCAGGACAAATTGAAGACCTTTCACCTCTGACCTTCCTTGAAGGTGACCTATAGGGAGACACAGCTCATCAAAGACTTACCTCCTGGCGCCCAGCGTGTGCAGGATACCAGTGAAACCTCATCCAGGCATCACATAGAGACCGTATGACAACCGCAGCAAGCCACCTGCCCAAGTCTTGGTAGTGACCGAGTCTTGACACCAGGTTTGTATAGCAGTTCATTCCCCACTGTCCCACCGCTGTGAACCCAGGGTCAGGTTGGTGCAATAATGACACATCGTGTGCTGTAATTGCTGCAGATCTGAGGACTTTAGTCCAAGGACTGACTTGACTAAGACACATTTTTTTCTGTAACAAGTCAAGTCATGACGAAGCATTCAATATATTTTGCATATTGTACCATCCACTAATTTGGAAGTAAAGGGAAAGTCATTTTAGAGGTAGAGATGGCAGAGAGTCAAGTAGACCAGGTTAGACTTTTTGTGGCCCCTTTATCATTTCAAAGAGACCTTGATGTATAGTCAAATACACCAGTGGATAGCTTGTAATGAAATTGAAGAAAAGACAGACCCACTGTCATCTTGATCATATCATCAGAATGGCAAACTCAACAATTAACTCCTGACCCCATGCTAAAGAGTTTGCAGTCACATGTTGCAGTTTTATGGGTATGTTTCAGTGTTGTTGCTTCACAATCATCCCAGGTATTGTCTACAGCAAGCAATAACTTTCTGCCCCAATTTCAAGTTATCTCACTAGTGATCTCTGCCACTGATGTTTTAGACACAAAACAACTAGAGTCATCATTCAGTCCTGTTTGTAGTCTCGACTTGAGACTGGGTTTGCCTTGTTTTGTTTCTGCATATACCGCAGGCAACATGCCCTGGCAAGCATAGTCAAAGAACAGTATTGGTAGAGGGCACCAATCTATAAGGGACAAAACGTTATGAAATACAGTACAGTTTGTCTTTCATGGATTGGCGCCCTCTACCATTACTGCTATTCCTCTGATAGTTGGCAGTATATGTTGCTAGCACTGTGTGTGGATACAAAACAATGCAATTCCACTCTTGGGCTAAGACTATCCTGCCTGTGGTTTCCAGTACCTTCAAGTTGTGCCGTGTTGCTAGAACTTGATATTCATCAGGATTTTAATAAAAATTGTGTCTGTACACCTGACATTAAAAAAGTCATGATTTGATCCAACAAAGATGACATCAAGCTAACTGCAACTTTTTAGTTCCACATAACGCTTTTTGAGATATTTTTTTACATATTTGTTACTTAAATTGGCTACTTCATCACAAGGCTGAATATCTGCAATTGAGAATCTAAAATGATGCTTCCATTGCAATCTGTAACTTATCAATACATTGTTACAAACGTCAAGTAAACAGATTTGGATAGAAATTACTTCAATTTTTTCACAGGTAAAATTTGATGTCTTTTCCCTATGCTTATAGGGTATAAAAAGGCCACTCATCAATTACGGTTTGTTTGTCTAGCTTGCTTTAATTTTAAAGAAAGTTGGGTTTTCGAGGGTGCAACGGGGAGGGATTGTTGACAATTTAGAGAAATTTGTCCACCGAAAATATGCTTCAGTGGACCTGACTTTTATGAAATACTAATGGTTTTTCAAGATAGTTATTGAGTGAGGACTAATATTGATAATTCATTTTTTTAATCAAAAGTACATTTTTAGTAAAAGTTCTACAGGGTGTCTCTATTCATTGTTGCATAATTTAAATTTTAGGGTACTCCAAAAGACCTCCGCTTAGAATCAAATGTTTCCTCTGTCTATGTCTGTCATCAATAGAAAATCTACAATGAGCATTTTTTATTTTGCCTTGGCAGTGTTTTAGTTTGCCTAATAAAAGTAAGATTAATGTGAATACCAGTTGCAGTCAGTCGATTGTTAACTGAGAAACATTCAACATGTATTGTGATAATAGTCACAAGACTGTCCTCAGGGATGTCTGATTTCCTGAAGGGCAGAGTTTTAAGCATCTTAGCCAGGAAGAAATGTCTAACATCGGTACACATGGTTAATCTCAGAAGCCAACTTTAATTCTTGAAATACTCAAGTAAAGGGAGCTTGATGTGTGATTTGGTATAAAACCCGCTGAATCATATCTTGAAATAAAAACCTAAGTATTTAAATTCCTCTTGTTACACATGACACTCTAGTTTTGTACTAGTAGGTTGATTTCTTTATTGTTCCCCTCTTATATCATCTGGAATAAAATGTGTCTTTGTAAGACAGGAGGTAATATGATGTGAAATTTCCCGAGATTTATCTTTTTTTCAAATTTAAAGGAGCAAGGGGATTTCAGTACTCTTGTTTTAAAAATAATGATGCTAGTTGAAATAGTTGCCAAATCTTGTAAATTTAAACCTCATTTTCCATCTTAAAAAATTCTCATTTTAAATCTGCTCTTACTTACACCACCCTTCCGGTGACCTTGGACGCCAGTAATTATTATGGGACATGGTCTGTGGAAAGAGGTGGGAAAAACCTAGAAGTTACCACCGATTGTCACGTGTTTCTATATTAAATACAATCGAATGGCCCTATATCCTCACACTGAGTGGATTTCAGACCGGGACTGAAGTGTAACCCCATACTGTCTTGCCGTATAATGTAATCGGTAGGAGGATCGTTATTGCGTGCATTGACTTTAATATTGCACAGTATTAGGCCAACTTTACAGAGAGGGAGCCAGACTTGCTTTTTCATGGGGGGGGGCAATTTGGGAATTTTTGTGTGTTACCCTTTACGCCTGTGGCATTTCTGACGGGTGAGGCGAAATTAGGAGCTATTCACAGGAACTTGAAGGAAAACTAAAATGTCCCCCACCTCCCCCCACAATTGCCTTTTACTTTCTGAAAACCCACATCCCAGTCCTATGGCGTATCTGGGGGGGGGGCTGTAAGTATCATGAGCTTATTCTGGGGTTAAAATCAGATGTGAACCCTCCCCCCCCCCGGCTGAGCCACATTGGCGACGGCCGGCTAGTGATTAACTGAGTTGCACTTTTCAAATGCTTACTCGTTTTTTTCGGGCATTTTGTTTGACCACGGTAGGAAAACGAGCTGTTGGGTCGGCCAGAAAAGAAGTGGTAAATTTCCGTAAGTAGGGTAAAATGACGACCAACTCTGGCTATGGCAAGAACATACCGCTGAGAGCTGTCCAGTGGGATCTCAATGATCGTTTACTTAAATAAGGAAATGGGTGCGTGTGCTACGTGCGTTACGTTTGGCGCAACGCATCATCCCTATAACTGGGGGAATCGTGGTTGCATTGGGAGCCCAACTTAGGCTACACAGTCAACTCGAATCACTGGTTGCTTTTTGAGCGTACGCATGTTTGAAAAAACTCTGGAATCATGATGTACCAGACTGCGGTTAGAGCTGAGGTCAAGCGCATCTTCGAATCGTGTGTTTCTGCAGACAGAAGCCAGTAGTTCAAACTGGTTCTAGGAAGTTTCGGGAACCACGCAGTGCTGAAGAAATAATATATTCACCTGTTCTTGGATATCTTCACCACCAATGTACTCAAATCTTGCCCTATCAGCGTGTTTTATTAAAAAAAACCAGGCCATTTTGATATAACATTAATAAGTAATCGTTTAACAAATCAATTTATGTTCAACCCAGCGAAAAATCTAGTCTCGATAATTTCTTGGTTAACCGGTAACCATACATTAATACTGGTGTAGTGTCATTACCATAAGGGGGCGCTCTATACATTTGTGAACTTGATCGTGCCTGGACCAACCACAGCCCTAACATACCTAAGTACAGTGCATTAGCTTGTCAAACATGTAGGTATTCATAGTGTACACGTACAAGATATCACGGTACATGAAACTTTTTCATAATAATGCACGTACATGAAGCGGGGCTTGTGCTGTTGTTTAAGTGATAAACGACTTCTTTTAAATGAACAAGTTAAGATAAAGAAAGGTGTCCCAGTTTATAAAAAAGCGTTCACCCACTTCGACCTTACGGAGTCCTCCCGTCATGGCCTGGGCCATGGTTTTACCTGGGCATTAAGGGTCCAGACACGCAAACGAAAAAAACAAATCCACGTCACGAATACTGCCACCAGTACCACTTGCCACAACACTGTCGCGTTGCTTTTAGTAGAACGGATTTTTCCTGCAATCTCTACCCAACGTGGGCCCCTTCCCCCTTGTATAAACGTAATGCCGGCCGGTATACGCGGTGTGCGGTGCTTGTGCATGTGGACGTCGCAAGCTCAGGCGTTGATTGTGTGTTGGCACACGGCCAGCGGATCACGTGGTTTCTTTATTTACCGCCGTTCTGCCTTCTGCGCGCGCCCCCTCCTCATTCCTGCATGAGTAATGATTTTCGCAGAAATCTTCGAGGGGTGGCCCTAATCGAATCAAGACGAAGCCGCATTTCTTGGGGCCTGGAGTGTGTGCTATACAGACTACAAGTAAAGCCGTGACAACCCCTACATTTGCTAGAAACATCTGTCTGAGATACCAGGGTATTTTGTTCCCAACAAATATCTCGATATCGAGCCTTTTCGACGGTAGCAAAATAAGTTAACCCCTGGCAAAATTTTCAATTTAAACCATACGTCGAACAATTTATTCCTTATTTTGTTTGGTTTGTTACCACTTCAGTAAATAAACCTAGCAAAATTTCTTCACTGCCCAGAGTATAGCAAAAGGTCTTACATGTGAAAATGCAGCGATTTTTCCACTGAAGACGAACCCGAGAAGCAAAAGCCTTCATAAAATCATTCTTATTCCATAGAGAATGGAAGTATTTCGATAAATTGTAGCCCTGAACCATTTACACCCACTTTAAACCTGTATTTACGGGAAAAAATAAATCGAGGGTCTTCCATAAAGTGTATGTCTGCAAAATACAGTTTACGTGGAAATTTCTCCAAGACGTATTCCACGTGTGTGCGACCTTGATGAGTCCTTCGGGGGATTTTTTCAAAATAATGCGATACTGGTACCATTCATATTAACAAAGTATAGTTTCCTTTTGTCAGCTAAGTACAGTGCCTCTGTCAGATTCTCATATTTCTCATGTCTCCTTGTTGTTTATCAGTATGAAGGTACAGATCACTTATCTAATCGACGGTGACGAATTGTGAATACCTGTTCGATTTTTGAGAACTAAAAGCAAGCAGTACCATATTTCTCGTATGCCAGTGAAGCATTGTGTTCTGGCACTGTCTTGATTGTGTCTGGGATATAGCGGGCATTGTCCTCGTTTGGTTGTGCGCGCGTGGCCTACGTGCAGTCTGCGAGGGCGCACACTGGTTTGGTGCACCGCGTGGCAGACAGATTTCTCTGGGGTCTGTCGTGTCCTTGGCACCGCGTGGTTGTGGGTGGCAGCCCGCTATGATGATGCATTGTAACTGGTGGTGAAATCACTTCCCCCGCAACGAGCCTCTTTTGCAAGCTTTCCTATGAAACATTTCAAAGTTCAATTTCGCTGTAACTTTCGGAAGTTGCCCCAGTTTTAAATGATTTACATGAGTTTGTGTTGTGTCTTCTCACCTAAATTTTGAACTATTTACAAAGTTTGTTGTTATTAACTACTGTATGACCATTTTGAGGATTCGTGGCAATCCCTCAAACTTTTCTTTTGGGTAAAACAGTTTCCGGTGCTTGAATTTTCCAACATGTTGGACAAAGGCTGGCTCAAGGAAGCTGTTGACAGCTATTTTGCCCGTACTAGTTGTAGCTGAACCGACCCACTTTCGCAGTTTCCTTCTTTAATCAAAACATGTTTTCGTCCTACATGATTGTACTTGTCAGCATCTCTTTCATTGCTTAGCCTATGACCCACTTGCCCTCGTTTTGTTTCTAAGACTGTGCTCTAAGCTGCCTTTTCTTTGCAGTTTGATCAATGGGTCCCTGACAAATCTTTTTTCAGGGTAAAGCTGTTTAATTATGTAACTCTTCGTGAGCAGCGCAGACTGGAATACACATTTCCTTGAACTATTGACGCTTTCACAGCGGCCGATTGCAGTTAGTGTCAAGAAACTATCCAACGAATTTGGAGTAAACACCGGTACACTGGCCTTGCTTTGCGGTTGTGCGCATGAGCGCACTTCATATGAATGGCCTGGGTCTCCAGTCATCCGCACAATGGAAATATGCAAATATATGACCTCATTAGCATTCGCCAATGGTTGTAGAGGGTGTTTCTTGTTGGCCAATGGCAAGGCGTGTTTGGTGACCGCGATATCGGAAAGCCGGCTAAGCACCGCCCATACGTGAAATAAAAATCATAACAAATCTACCGGCGTGCTACTTACCGGGCCATTTCACAGCTTCAAACTTCAAGTTGCGGTCGGGCCTATGATATCGGAATGCGAGAACCTTTCGATTGAAGAAAACCACAATACTTGACGCAACAAGCCACCGGTTTTAACTATATCGAGAATTAGTCAAGCTCAAATTTAGACAGAGCAGTAAACATGTACGGTTCGAAGCGCCTAGCAAAGAGAAGCATTGTTGGCACCCGCGTTTGTGCTCCGTGGCCGGATGGTATCTACTACCCTGGCATCATCCGAAATGTAGAAAATCAGACCTACTACACCATATGCTTCGACGATGGTTACATCAAGGTGTACAGGGAGGCCGATATTGTCGGACAAGGGTTCCGAGGGGTCTGTAGCATCCACCTGAAATTCGGCCAGAAGGTGTATATCACCAACAATGGACGAGAGATGGTCGGCCACGTGCAGAAACACAAGAAGCCAACCAACGAGGTGTGTATCAGTCGCATTTCTAATTCACCACACGTATACAATTCCGTTTCAAATTGGATTGCCATAGCAATTAATTTAACCCCAGAGAGGATACAGACCTTTCTCTAGTATGATAAAACTGATCTATTGCTCATTATGAACCAGGATAACTGGTGTATTTTCCAGAATTTTCGATTTCATTGCTGGAATGAGCATTGTCAACGGTTTGGTCACTTCTATTTGTGCACAAGTGGACGTTTTCCTATAAATTATTTTTGAATGAGAAATTATGACGAAAAGGAATGACTAATGTTACATAGAAGCAAGTGCAACTAGACAATACTTAATTGGTTTTATTGATTTGATTTTTACACTAAATGTGTTAGCTCTGTCTGTGTTTCCGCAGGTTGTTGGAAACTCTATTGATACATGCACTGTACATTTTACCAAGACTAGCCTAAAAAAGAACTTTGGTAGTTGAATACACCTAGGGAACAGCGTTTTTATACACAGTATTTTTCCATGATCAACATATACCGCTTGTCACGCTGGATGTAAAACAGGCAGACGGAAGGAAAATTACAGAAATCAAAGTTGCTTCCATTCGTGCCATTGGGGATTGAGCCGCTACCCGTCATGTCTGTTAAGCCCAGGCCTTGAAAGATAAAACTTGCTTTCGAGAGGCTTTAGGTGATGATTGAGAGAACCAGCCCCCCCCCCCTTTTCGCGAAGTGAGCTGGCATAGTTATTTGCCGTTTGGGTTAACTAGTCCACCTTGAATGCCCCGTGGCCTTGGGAGTGCGCGGAAGTGATATACATAAACATGGCACGTGATACTTATAAACCCGAGTCGATCACAAAAAGCCCCCTCTCTTGTCGCACGCCTTGCAGTTCATCGCTAATCTAACCATGGAGGATGGTAAGATTAGCCCATGACCTAACAATGTACATACAGGAAGCTGTGTACCGACTCGCATTCATGACTGCATTTACCACATAACCTAATTAAATCGACCGGTCTGAGAAGGCTTGCAATGAAATGCATTCTGTTGACATTTCTATTATCATGTAAATCTTAAGGGATATTACAGTATTCTTTAGCATTATAGTAAAGTTAAGAAAATAAAAGATTTGAATGTCAGTTTTGTTAAGTATCTATAATTGCATTATTTTATTTAAATTTTCCAAGCTCCTGGTCCCCCGTCTCGTCGAAACGTTTATGTGGTATTTTGAAAGTTCCTGATGATAAATTATATTGAAAATTTTTAAAATTTCAGGTTTTCATCAAAATTGCGGACAGCTCAGAGACCATGATCCAGCGAAAATTGGACGAAGTCCGCCTAATGGAAAGCCGCAAGTCACCACGGCTGGCTGACCACGAAACCAACTATCTGAAGCTGGCCGACATGAGCCCGACTTCGGACGCAAAGAAGAGGAACGTTTCCAGCAGTATCGACGTGCCCAGGTGAGTGAACTTCCTAAGCTTGGTAAATCTGCCCACTTATAGGAGTTCTTGGGGTTTATTCATACACCAACAGCTTTCAGAGCCGCCTTGTTATTTTACATGGAATTCTAGCAGTACTAGACGTGTATTGTTAATATGGGTCGACTGAGCATTTTTTGGAAACGAGAAATCTTTCTTGCAACCTTGGTTGCTTGGGGGACTTTTCATCATGTACATGTACATTACATCAGGGACCAGCCATTTATGGTCAGCCACGCCACACATGGTTCTGGGAAACCTATCTGTGTTTTTGCCTCATGGCCGTTCCATTCACGAAGAGGTCCGTGGGTCTATGTGAACCCCCCCCCCTTAACATCTCATCCAATAAGCCTGATAGTGTCCACATTTACATTCATCCTTGACCCGTCAGACCTGCGATTTTGAAAGAAACAAACAATACCCGCATCACGTGCTTTAAAGTTTTAGGTTCCATTTATAGTGTACCTCCGGTGTGTGGTGGACGTTCGCAGGGATTTTCCTGCGGTTTCACAACGTCAATTATTGACAGATGGAAAATGAATTTGTAAATGAGAAATGCTCCCTGTTGCCAGAAAGACCTTTTTATGTTTCCAAAGACCTCAAATTGTTGCCTGGGATATTGTTTATAGCTTTTATTCAATTCATATAAAAGCGTGTATTCCTGCTGTAGATTAAAACCCTAACCCCCAAGGGTGTACGTAAAATCGTATAGAAATAGGAGGATTTGGGACTGTTAAGGTTAAGTATGCATACCTACCGTGTTGGCTGATTGTTTTCAAGCTTGCAACAAAAACGGTTGGATTAATAATAACGTTATCGATCGTGACTACGTGTGCTGATATAGACTTTCCTGAATGGATGTACATGTATTTGTTAGAAGAATTTGACAGGAACCTCGGACTTTGTCCTAGTCGTTCTAGAAAAAAAGTGGAGACTTCTGCAAAATTTGGGTCAGGTCTGTACGTCATTTGTTGACATAATTCGATAAACAGATCGTTCGAGTATTTCTCGAACGTCGGCCTGTTGCCAGACATCAGCAGTTGTTTACTGTTGATTGTTTGCGCGAGCGTTGTATTTATGTTTGTCATTTGTCCGAGCATAGGCTTTAGGTCCTCACGTTTTGTCGCGGCATTATGTAAATAAAGCCCCCCCCCCACTCTAAGGGGCACACCAAATCTAAGCTCGTACATGCCCATTTCATTTTTTAAAGATGGTTTCATCGCGACGGAACAGAGATCTTTTCTTATTTAAATTTGGATTGGATCTTCCGGTTGAACTTGATATAAAGTTTCGACAAGAAATCAGAAATTCCCCAAACCTGTATCGTCTGTGAAGGCGCGCATTCTTAAATCAACGTGGAGGGGAATTCACCTTGTTGATGTCATGTCTGCGTTGAGTTGCGCAACACGGGAAGTGTACTTTGTTGTGGTGGGCGTTACCGGAATCATGTGATCGTTTGTCTCTTCGTATCTCTCTGGTAGATACCCGTGCAACCTTGAGAAATCGAAGTATTACGTTACTGGGGAAATGTTCTGAAGTAGTTTATCCTTATACAAATAGCTGTCGGAGCTAAATACTACCAATTTGTATTAATTTTGAAACTATATTCTGCGGTAATGTTTTCGTCGCAAAATTGATTGATTTTGCACCAGAAATTAGGATTGCCCAATTTGTTTTTAAGAGAAAATCACTTGAAAAGAATGTCTTGAGACTGTGGCCTGCAAAGATACCAAACATACATGAATGCACATCAGTCTCATTTTGCGGTCTTGGTTGAATTCTGAGAAAGATTTATAGAATCTTCTGCGTTTTGCTCGAAGTTCACAGAAGGCTATATCCAAGGTTACGACACATAGTACGGACCCTTCTTGATGTGATAATAGATGTGTACATGTGTTAACACGTGACATTTGTGCAAGAACATAAGACTGTCAGCAGTTGCTGCAGGGTACCATCGATGGTTTGCGCGTCCAGTGCAACCTTGTCTTCAGGTCATGGCCACAAATAATGACAAACGAGATCAAGAAATCGATTAAGAGATTAATACGTTGAGAGCTTTCCAATGCCGTTTTATGTCTGGCAACGAGAAGTGTGCACTAAAGATTATCTGGGGATGGGTTTGATTACAGAAGATTGCCACCAAGGTAATTAGCCCTAGTCTTCTCAAAACTAAAAGTAAAAACACAAAGGCAAATACTGGGGTACATGTGGTCAATATTTATATTGGACAGGTTGGAAACGCAGAAATTTAACCTGTAAAGTGTAAATCGTCACGACTTGTTGAGGTCACTGCAGGCTTTCAATAATACAGCTTCACTGCTGTGTTTTTAATGCACGGTTCGTTAATGCAAATGCATGTAATGTGGAAAAGCTGTACATGTACTTCTGATCGTTAATTGATCAGGCACTGTGTCTCCTGAGGCTGAATCACAGACCTTGATTGTGACTTCCCAAGTTTAACATTTAAGAGAAATAAATAGCTTTCTCAGTTGGTTAATTTGCAAATCTTTCTGTGAATACCCCGTTCAAGTCACACAAGCTTGGCACCGTTGTCTTGGATATCCTCCACAGAACGGAAATACACAAATTCCATTTCCAGTTAATTATAGTTACCACATTAAAATCAACAGTTAAGGTTCAACCTACGAGTTAGTCTTTAACCAGTATGTTTCAACTTCAAACTTGAACATTACATGATATTAAAGTGTGCTTGAAAAAGTCTGTCACTTCCCCACTCGGGGGATTCACATGGGCATACACATGTACATCAGGCAGTCTCGTTCATGTTCAGCTCTCTGACTTCTTGGGTGCTATTTTTGGTACTTCGACCCATACCACCTGTTTTCCAAATGGCTTAGCGCAGGGTTCACGCCAGCAATGACATACCGCGGAGCATTCCTAGGACTTCCCGCGTGTAGCTATAGCCGTGCCCGTAGAGCCCAATTTCTGTTTCAGTTAACCTTTCGATGTCAATTTACAAGCCCGCATGCCCCGACCTCGGATTGCGAACAAGCTTAAGCGCATGCCCAAACGAGTGGAACAAAGGAGAATTAATATCTTCACATGCAAATTTTTAAGCCGGGCATGTTTGTACATGCCCAGACGTGAATTGCAGGGCACGTTTTCGGTAGATTCTATTATAATGGGGCCCAACCCACTCCACAAGTTAATAATTTAACCAGGTTATGATGTTCGTATAATATTTTTGTAAACTGCTTGAGATGGAAGTCTTGAAACAGTTTGACCACTTTTGAAATCATGATAATTCCCTGTTTTACAGTCCATGAACTTGAACAAGCATAGTACAAGCCTACAGTTTTGTGAAAAATCCAGGTGTACTCATGACGTGTTATAAGTTTATCGTTTGCTTTATGGTCCTATCAATATAGAAACGGCACGCGTTCCGATGGACACTAAAAATGTCGCATATGAAATGCATAACTATTTGTACGTGTGCTGACGTAGCCTTACTTCTTTTATTCTAAGAGGAAAAATGGCGCGATGTCTGTAATTTGTACCCGTATTTTTCCGTTGTTACCACGAACTCACTGGGAAATCACCTGAATGACAAACGCAAAAGAAATACAGTGTTTCGCAATCACCCTGCATGTTTGTTGACAGCATCTGCGAATCGTGCCAACCCCGGAAATTCCACTTGCCGGAAGAAATTAAAAAAAAAAATACCCTGGATGCCGTTCACGGATGAGCTCATCCATTGACGTTTTGGTACAGTCCTTATTAAAATTCGGTCATCCACGTGCAGAAATGGTACGTCCCTCATTATTTTGTCCAGTAGAAACGCGTATTTTGTGCGGGTTCGCGTGTCTTGATTATAACTGTGCGCTGGCCATTGGACCGTGACTTGATAAATGAAACTCGAAGAACGAATTTCGCCTTGATTTTTTTCAACGTTTTTGTATCAGAAAAGGGAACAAAAATGCCCATTATTTCACGGGCATGGGTGGGTTGAATTGAAGTTCCATATTACAACTATATCAACATTCATTTCGATGGGGATTTGATACCGCACAAAATAGTTTCACATGGAAACATGCTCACAGTCAGAGTTTACTAGAACTGCCTATCAACTCCGTCGTACAATATGAAGGTTAGCTCAAGGAGCTGCTGTTTTGAAATTAGAATTTAGGCCACATTTCCACCCGACCAGACGACCCCAAACAAGAGACAGACATAAATTGGTAGGCCTGTAGGTCTGATTCAGCATCTCCTGATTTCAGGAAGCGTTAGTGGTTATCGCTGAATTACGTGTTTACTTTGTAGTTTTTGGTTCTCCATTCAGTTTTTATCTCAAAACGATTGCTACCGTTGTACTCATGATTTGCGTTTGCTAGATGGTCCAACACTTATCCCTTTTTTAAATTTCTGTTATGAATACTTTCATTCATTATTTGAAAAGCCCCTTCAACCGGAAAGAAACAAAGAGCGTGAAAAGCTTAAAACCTATGTCGACTGGTTCAAAGATATTGTTTTTTCTCAATCGCGCGGATCGAGCAATAATTGATGCAGCTTGATTTTTAAAGGGAAATACAATCAAGCAAAATAATGTACACATTAATTTTTTTCTTCATTGCTGAAAAAGTGCAACAGCCATTATTCCTGCAAAAAAAGGTTTCTTTTTATCCCCTCATCAATATTCATCTATTTCATTTCATACTCCATGCCTGAATGAAAGGTCCAAGAGTGAGACTTGCATGACTTGCGGACTGTTCCTTTAACGCTCTGAAGCATTGTATGGTAATGAGCTACACACGCGGGTCGCTTTTGCCGGGCGTGTTGTACATGTACATATTGTATCTGGTGTTATGTACATGTACATGTACAGTACAGTACATATACTGTACATGTACATGTACATGCCGTTTGCTATACGCGGGCACACTGCCAAGTAAGGCGTTGCCGGGCCGTTTCCATGACAAGCAGGGATCAACCATTATTTTGCGCCGGCCGGTGAAAATGGTCAACTGAAACACTCTGAAAAAAGCAGTATTTTGCAGAGTGAGTTCTATCAAGAGGTTGTTGATTTGGGTCAAATCCAGTATTTTCTTTAAGATTTTATATCGTTGTTTTTTGTATATTTACATTGCGCCTTAAAACGATGTTTAGATCAAGATTCAAAAGTACTGGATTTGCAGGAATATGGAATGTATTGACCCATGATTTATAAAGTACGCGCCTAAACGTAAGTGCCACATGGCAACGAAACTAATGGTTCCTTTGAAAGTAAACAGAAATTGTCATTTACAAGATGGTTACAAGAACTATTTTCTTAATGATGTGTTGCTGATTGAACTGTTTAACCCTATGACACTCGCCTGCATCTTTCAAAATTAGCCAGGAGGTTTAGGAAGATTTGCACCAAAAAAAAAAAAAAGAGATGAACCCAGCAACGCGACTTGACAACCCCTTCCTGAGAGTTGACGTCACAGCGTGTGTGATTGGGTTCAGCGCAGCCCGTGGAAGGGGCGGGGGCGTGTCGTTGAATGTCCGCAAAAGTTGTCTGTAGAGTTATGCTTCAGGGCACTGATATCCTGGCCGAGAAAAAGGGCTTTTAACCAACCCGCATCCGCAGTGCATTGCCCATCCTTGGAAGAAATTTCACCTCATAAGAGGCCGCATATTCTGCTCCGAGTGACAGAAAAAGAGAGACTGACTATCATCAGGGCACAATGGATACGAAACTTCAAAGGAAATGGGTCAACGACCAGCCACGATCAGTTCACTACAATTTTCCACTTCCAGTCATGTGAAACACCACGTTTTATAATTTCGAAAGAGGTGAATGACTGAACGCAATGAGCATCTATATGGAATATGCTGGTTGCAAATTACCAATATCAGTGTTTCTGCCTCCACAGGAATTCATTAATCATTAATGGGTGATAATATGTTCGAAAGATCGGTTGCATATATTGCGAACTGCACGTACGCTATGCAGTGAACACAAACAACAGTGGGAACCTGTCAAGTGTTCTGTTCCTCCGAGAATTTCGAAAATCGCAAGCCCAAACCTGGGGTCGGGAATTTGTCGATCGGATCACACCATAGAGCCAGGAACGTCACATTCACACCAAGTGGTCCGATGAGGCGACTTTGAGTTTGACCTGCTGCCTGTGTTGTAGATTTTGTTTGGACATGTCCCTGAAAAGAAGAAAAAGTGTGGACATAAAGGATTTTGAAAGTCGTGGTCATTGCCATGACTTACCTACTTCGCTAGAATAGAAAAAAATTATAAGCCAGATGTGATACAAAAGAAACTTTAATAAGGAATTTTTCTTCCAGTTTGGAAAATTTTGAAACAGACAAAGAAGACAATGGGTCGTATGAATAAAAACTAGCAAATGCTATGAAGTTCAAGAAAACAGCAAAAGCATTTACTGAGAAGTCAAACCATTAAGAATAAGCAATTGTTTGAATTTGTAGGAATAAAATGTTTCTTGTACTATTCTCCATTTACTGGTATAGCAAATGCTTTATGCTGGAGGCTGACTGCACAGCTGAATGATTTTGGACAAAAGGGCTTCCCTTGTCTGCACGTACAGACGCACCTCGTCTGCACACCCACCCGCACACAATGCAACACGGTGCTGTATCTCGAGACCTCCGCAAGGCTTTTAGAAAAGCACGATAGCAGTAATTTTCATCGCAAAAACCTTGATGAAGAAAATTGATCTGCTTCTCTCAAATCGGTACAACTGCCTGCATCTGCTTTCCTGAGATTCCCTCTGAAAGGCATACAGCTTTTCCTTTCGAATGACATTCGTGAACGCTGCCATTTTGAACATTAACTAAATGCTCTAAATACTCCAATTCTGTAGAAATTACTATTTTTATTCATACAAAATGAAGAAACTGCTTATTGTCAAGCACAAGCTTAAAGAGTAAAAAGTAAATACTTTTACTTGTTAGCAATTGCACTAAAGTAAAAGCATTTGCTTCATTATTATTCATACAAACGCGAGTAAATGCTTCAAAAATGATAGTAAGAGCAAATGCTACTTTCTATTCATACGACCCACCAAGAATATTACCTTGTGAGTTGTAATTAAACCTATACTCCAAAACCCAATATCTAATAGGTTCGTAGCAAAAATATGCTGCAAGAAGACACTCGTGGTTAATACAGGATACATAATTGCTGATTGTTTTAATAGAATCAGATGAAGATGAGCTTGGAAGTTGGCGTTAACGTGAGGGGGGAATGTCCTCATTGTATAAACTCTCAGCACGTTCACACAGAGCGTTGACCTTCGATGTGACAGATCCAGCGTCGCATTCGAAGCGATTCTTGGAAATGCTTTTCGAGGAAATAGTAGTGTTGATACGGAACGTGTTATCGTTGTGAGTGGCCGGAGCTGAAAGGACTTTCAACCCTCCTATGAGGACAAATAAGTAAAGCATATGCTCGCGGGGAATCAAGTTCATTGACTTGCTTTTTAATCATGAAAGATTAATGAAACATGAATATTCATGCATTAATAGTTTATAGCTTGAGTTCTTTTTTCCCTCGCATGATCCGTAAATATACTTTTGCAGCCATTCATAAAGGTCAATGTGCAGTTTAGTTGTCCCAAATATCAAGTATTCACAAAACTCTTGTACATGGCTACATTTTACAATTTACAATTCACTCATTTTAAAGTGCGACATTTTCCAACCCCCCCCCCAGTCGTGTCAGTGATCTGTTTTAGTGGTCACGCAAGCACTTTGTAAATTGCCAACAGCGGTTGATGGTTAATGAAAATAGCCAGGCGCTAAAAGTTCTAGCAGTAATGACAGGGTCCTTAACATCTTTTCTCATTTCGATACAGAACCCAACCCGAAGATAATGACATTACCATGGAAATGAGTGACTCTTGAAATGGCCGGTATAATAAACACCGTTCAAGCGATGCGTATTAGCCGAGTAACCAGATCGTGATGGTGGACCAGAACTACCTGACCAGCGGTGGTCACTTTAATTTTCAAACCTCTAGGGTACTAAAATGGTCAATTATTTCCTCTCAGTGAGCCAAGCAATTCTGCCTCATGGTCACTTGGGATGTTCACTTCCCTTTTATTCTCGAACCGTTCTTTGTTATAGAAGAAAACTGAACAATCTTGCTTGCCACCTCGTGTAAATATTGCATGTAAATATTGCGCAGGGGCAGTTACACGACCAAATAACGACATTGTATGTGTATCTAGCTCACCAACTACCGTAATTTTTTTCCTGAGTGATGTTCATTAGAACAGACTTGGGGCAGAAAATGCAAACAAGATGAGGTCAGGGCCGTTATGGATTTATTGGACCACTGTCCTGGGAGTTTGACCACTGACCTACACTGTCCGGACAGATCAACTTGGCAAATTGACCGGCCAGATGGACGTGCAAACGAACAATAAACTGACAAGTAGTTGCCGAGGATAAAATCTGCCTGTGAAAAATCTACTGGAGGTGTAATTTGTCAGATCCCTGTCACCCAGTTGAGCTGACCCAAGGGTCAAAATCTAAATGGTTCATTTTGTGGCTGTAGTGAAGGAATGAATGGTCTTCTGCAAAACTAGCTTATCTGGGTTTGATTTCTTTATCTCTCTGTAACCACTTGACAAGGTTTTTTTTATTGACTTCTTGTGATTTTTGGGTTGTTCAATCGAGTCGGGAGTTCATGGAATTTTCAAAATGATATGAGATAAGGTAACTTACGGAACAGATTTTTCGTAAATTTTTATAAGAATGTTGACATGACATTTTCAGAACACTCTCTTCTCCAGTTTGTTTTGCCGATTGGTTTGTGCCTTTTGAAACTGTGAGTTTTATTATTACTTGGGAGTGGGTTCCACTTGACTTCTCTGTATCATCTGATGTTTAGACGCCGATCACCGTGATGAATTACTGCATGCCGTATGAGCTGTGTAGCACGTGTTCATCAAGTGGTTAAATGGAAAGTTCAACCACATACCATGCCTTGGTCACATTGGCCTACAGTTGCATCATCTCATATCCTGTGCAGTTCCCAACCAGCATTCGTGTCTAACCATCAAATAGACATGATGCAAGCCCTGATGAGACTTGCCCCATAAAAGATGAGAAAATTACGGCCATATTGTCCCTTCTAAACATCAGTCGTAATACACTGCTCTGCTGCCCCATAAGTGTAGAGACTAGAGTGTAGACTTTTAGAATAGCTCCGGTTTCTCGGTCATCATCTGTGATTGAAATTCTCCCCCATTTCTGAGCTCCATTTTTCCATTAAAGGTTCCACTCAATTCTTTGGTCTGTGTTGTGGTCTTGGGGTGAGTAACACATCGGATTCAACAAAAGAGCTTTCTCATATTGCTCAGAATTTTTGAGTTTTTTCCATTTAAATAGTATTAGCATATACATGTCCCATACCTTGAAGTCACCATCCCAAGCCTGGGCTGTATGATGTGTTCCATTTCATGATATTGCCAATATTCTCTGACTAGCAAAGGCTAGCAAGTGTTAATGTTACTAACTCCTTTCCTTTTGTCACGTTAGACATCAAGTGACTGGGGTCTTTTGTTGAAAGGTTTTTTCTTTTTTCTTGTCGCCTTTTCAGTGCCAAATCGTTTAAGATTGAAGAAGAACCTTTGATGGATGATGTTATGGCAGCTATGGTGCTGACGAGCCTGTCTGGCAGTCCACGGACCAAACTCGACAGCAGCTCAGGTAATGAAAATATATATTTTATCAGGATGTGTTTAATTGGTTTGGCAGGAAAGAATACGTGCATCTCTACAACTTCCACCAGCTAGTGGTTTGACACACTTCCCATTGGCAATATTGTTTCCAGCTGCAGTCTAGAAATTCAGATGTGGCCTTAGGTATGACAAAAAAATTGACTGGACTTGGATTTAAACCTGAAGACAACCAATGAAGACTCTGGTCTGTATCTGAGCATTGTGCATTCAAATTCTGTGGTATGGCTTGAGTTCCCAGCCTATCCTGTAGTCCGTTGGCCAACTGATTTGTATTTGATCTGTAGCACATCCCATGGTTTTTTTCTCATCACTGAAGTCCTCCATTATGAAGCCTCATTTGAAAGTCTTAAGGTCAGTTCTTTCACCACCACCCCCACCCCACTCAATAAACATACCAGGAGCTGTCAACATTGTTTTGACATGGGCAGTGCTGTGGGTTTTGTCAATAGTTACTCTCAAGGTTACGATGCCTCCTACTTTCTCAATCCCTAAAATTGGGCCGGCAGACATCAGATCAAGCCATACAGCGCGGACTCAAACCATGGCTTGCATTTGTATCACTCTCAGTGATTAAGTCCTGTTGCTGAGGATCCATTCAACTCTGCCATTTTAGCATGTCTAATATTAGTAACAGAAAGAAAAATCCAATTCGCATTTAAACTTGAATACACCTGTCACAGACAATTAGTGGCAGGCCACAGCTTAGTAGCAACTTTTGTAGAGTGAGATTTCAACTGGAACAGAGTATTCTAAAGTTACTATGACACCATTTCTGTGCAACACATTAGTGTTGTTTTTCTTCTTTCAAGGGAATGTTTGTTTTATTTTTCCCCTTGGATCATGGCAAACTGTAGCTCAAGGTTGCAAAATGAAGTGTTTGACATGGTAATTTCTCTATTCCTGTGAGCTGGATAGAGAGAAATGTTTAAAATCAGATGTTCTCCCACCGCTGATCTGAGTTTAAGTTTGTTTCGTGGCAGCAAGCTGAGCTAGAGATATGAAGCTCTGAAAATGAGGGAGTAGCTCTCAACTGTTTACTGGAAACAGAGGCTAGATCCATCAAATTGAGCCATACAGTCTACACATTATGTACGTTATCTGTGGCCACATGGTTGTCTGTAGTTTTCTTGTACATGTACATGTACAAGTGCATGATGTACAGGACAGCATGTTGTTTGTGTGTGCATGGAGTCATAACTCCACATCTGCAACCTACAGATTATGACTGAAGTTTGAACACAATTGGCTGAGAGGGGACGCTGAAAGCCGGCCGGCTAATTTACATAGTGATGTCAAGGACACGATTAACATTGTTGACAGAGCTCTGAGGTCAGTAGCACTTGCCTAACCCCTCCGGAAAAACAAGAGCACTTTAAACAGGGTGAAGAGCTGTGAGCCTTCAACAGCAATAAAATCGATTTAGCAAGGAATTATGAGGAAAGGGGGGAAGGGACTGGACTGTGGTGAGCTGCTAACCAAACAACTTGGAATTGATAACAGTTGACAAGGTCCAAAATGGTGTATGCTCATGAACCCCTCCCCATTTCAAACACTTTAATTGTTCAACATGGTTTAATTAAGCATGAAGTAAACCTTCAGTGGATTGAACAGGTTTTAAGTTTCAAAGGTGTGCTTTTATTCTCTCGTTTTATGTGTACTTTCCCTATTGTGGAAATGATTCTGGTCCTGGATGTGAATTTTCATTACAGAAAATTCAGTTATGGACCTACTTACATATGCTTGTTAAAAGCATACTTGTGCTTTCCCTTAGGCTGAATTACACTCCTTTGTTATCTTTGACTAGGTGTTCTGTTGTCCCTTTGCACTAGTAAACTTGAAGCAGGAGATCTCAAAATAACCTGTGCATTTTACAGTCTGGAACTTGGAAGAGTGCCAAGAAATGTAACATAAACAGATCTAAATGCAACACAGACAAACAATGGTCCGGAAATAAACCTGGAGTGTGTGTAATGGTGTCTTGGTTTGGTGATTTTGCACAATTGTGACTAAATCCTGAGTCTTTTTTAGAAGGCTTACAAATGCTGTCTGAATCACCATGGACAATGTGGCCGCCAAGGTGCAGTGTTTTTGTAGTGGCTTGATCTCATTGATTACTTCTGCCGGTTTTCCAAAGTATTGATTTTAGCATTAAGCTTATGTTGAGAAGTTGCAAATCTGGATGTCTGATTCCTTGAATTGTGGGCCTATGTTTGTTGGGCACTAGTGAGAATACCCTTGTTAGGAGAGTCAATCCTGTTGCCCTCTGAAAAAAATTCTGTTCTCAAAAAATCTGCATTTTTACTTTCAGTTTGATTTATTTTACTCCTAGTCCATTGGTTTGTGCAAGAAAATTCAGGCTTTTTCTAAACATGAATAAAAGTTTTATTTAATACAAACAAAACTAAGGTAATGTTTTCTTTTAGTACAAAACCAATCTGCTTATGATTCATGGGCACTTGCCCTTCCATGTTGCTGTTTTATGTAAGTGTAAATTTTCTTATTACTTTCCAGAATCCACACAAGAATTTGAGCAATTCAATTGCAGTACAAATATTTCAGAAAATTCTGGAAATGCAGTTGAGTTAATTTACACAGTCCCTTCTTTGTAAACAACAACGGAGTACCGTGGTTTGCAGAAGCCAGTATGGTTAATCATTGTGCACAATCACCTGACTTACTATGAATAATTAAATTTCCCTTAACGAACTTCTTCAGAAGTATTACTAGTTGGAGATGAATGGGAAAGAATTCTTGGACAGATGAAAGAGTAAGCTTATGGATTTGTGGCCATGAATAGTCTATGAATGATACCTCTGAAGTACTGTACACCTGTGAAGATAATAACCAGGGCAGGTGAACACAAACACACCAAGGAAAGATTATCAGTTAATTCTGACACTGATGAAGTGATTGCAGATTTTCTGAAATCCTATAAAGGGTTGCCGGTAATAGCCAGTGTTTGTTCGACACTTGTGTGAAAAGTTACCTACGTGGTTGTAGCTCTATGGTCTAACTTGGCTGAGGTTCAAGTTGAGGGGGCGGCTTTTATTAAGTTGCTAGTCGTGAAGGGCAAGATTTTCTGCCTTGCAGGTTGATGGCATTGTTGGTCATGAACAAAAGTCACAAATAAGAAAGATTTTCCATACTGCTTTGCTAACCACTGAAGGACTGAAACATTCTGAAGGAAAAGTTTTGTAGAGCCGCTGTGTTGTTTTATAATTCCTGTTTTATGTTGGCGTTACTGTAGGCCTAAGTGAAATTTTTATGCTAGTCTATTTTTGATTCTCCCAAATACCAAGTAGTGTCAACCACTTAAAAACCTCAGTGTGGTGATTACAGGCCGAGAGGTGCAATGAAGATGTAGACATTATAGAACTTTAAACAAAAGTATAAATATAGGTTGTTGTTATGGCGATCTGCCATGCTAGTACATCAAATATTTTCTTACACTTTAATCAGACAAGACACCAATCATTGCCGGAGACACAGGCAAAGGTCAGAGGGAGGCACGTGCTGTGTCAAAAAGGCTGTTACTAAAGCGAATGACTAGAGAGTTGGATGGATAAATTCATCAAGGTTTGGGTCCGCCACATTGCCAAAATTTGGCAGCTGTAATGGACTAGTATTCAACAAAGGGAATTGAACCAAATTGGAAGAGAAAAAAGTATGGAAGATGTAGATTGAAATGCAAATTATGGCGACAATGTGCTCACTGTCATTTTAAGAGTGTTCAAAGCTTGATCAAGAAGGGATCAAGAGGCTGAAATCAGTTATTTCCCCCAATATAAATGCTTCATGAAAGAGGCTCTCATCCCAGTTTTTAATATATGCATGTTTCAGATACCTTCCTACATGTATGGCTTGTTTTCCCAGGAAGTTAAATGGCAACCTGAGAAGTCGTGGAGTTAACTGGTAGCGTACACAAAGTTACTTCAAGATCTTTAAAACTTCTTGATTTCTTTCCTTTTCTCTTTTATGTCACAGTACCATACAGTCCCATTAGTCCGATCGGGGGTGCCACATGCGATTTATCCACAGGTACAGCATCTTCATACAGCCCATCAAGCAGCGGTCATTTTAGCTGGGATTTCCATTCAAGGGGGACACCCTCCCCAACTTCTTCGAACAGTAAGTGCTTCTCCAATTCCATGCTTCCTGACATCCTGTATACAATATGCCAGGATTTCAATTCATTTTTTAAAAAGTAGCATATTTACAGGAAAGTCTTTGTTTGGCTTTTATGGAGTAATCCCCTGTTAAGGACGATGCTTGAGATAGGCAGTGATCTCAGTTGACTTCCATCACTTTAAGAGTTTCAAATTTATTGAATTGTTATGCTGTGGCTCCCCCAAAACCATTTTTTTTCATCAATGAATCGCAGCCATTAATAGTTCTTGTCACCTTCATTTTCAATGAAGTCATTCTTGCTTACAACCCGGAAAAGTCATCATCCAAATGCAGACAGGTGGAGCCTTGATCTTTTGTAACAGGAAATGAGCTTGTGTCATTTTCAGCAGATTGTGGAAGGAGTGGCTGGAGAGTTGGGATACTCCTTTAAAGAGAGGTTACTATATAAAACTCCCCCTGTTTGGAAAGTTGGAGTGTTGTTTACATCAAAAGGAAACTCTGAAAAAACCTGACTTCCGGTTGGCACCTAGATCTTGCATTACGCACGGACTGAATTATGATTCCGGATATAAGTCACTTTAATGCGGGGGAAAATGAGAGAAAAAATCAAGGGTCTTAGTGGATGGAGGAAGGAGATAGAGAGTTTCCTCTTAAGATTCCTTTGGCCCAGTTCCAGGTAGGGGGGGTTGAAAAAGAACGTCAAGCGGGAGAACTTTCCAGATTTTGAATCAGATTGATGAGGTCACGGTTGTCAGGGAGACGAGTTCCCACAACAAGGCAATGGGAAGCCTAGGGGAAACTGCCGCTCATGGCATTTGTGCTGTTCCATTGGATAAGTCTATCCCTGTCTTTAGGCATGAGTCATGAAGACTGTGTAGTTTGGAAATGAAAAGTGGCATTTGTGAGGAGAAAATATTCTTAAAGGCTAGGATTTAATTATGTTGATTAGTCTTGAGGGGGATTTCAAGGTGTTGGGATAATTGAGATGAAAAATTAAGTTTCTTGGAATTATACAAAGAGATATATTTTCATTTTCATTTGTTTTGATCAGGTATTTAGCAAAGAAACAGTTAAATGTGGGGAACTATTATCTTGTTTTGGAGGGGTGGGGCTTTGGGGGGTTTATGGGGCGTGACTGATGTTTCAAAATATACATATAAAGCTGCAAAATGTTCATGACATGAAACAACGGTAATTAAGAATATCTTGCTATTGCAATACTTCCAGTTGATGAATGAAGGGGATGTGAACAACTCTTGCTAACAATTGGCAAAAGCAATGTTTTGTAGGGACAGAATTCCAACACTGAGTCTGAAATTGAAGCTAATCTGAGCCGATCACTATACACTGGAGGGTCAAAGGTGACATTGCTTCTTGGGTACTGACTCTCTGGTGAATGGAAGCTTTAGCTCAGTGTTAAAAAAGTTATGTTACTTGTCTCTCAAGTGTGCAAAACGTCATTTTTTAGAATTCTCTATCTGAATGAAACAGAAGACTTGTGGTTAATGGAGGTGACAAAACAAAGTGCTCACTTTAAAATCACTTTCGTGATACAAGTCAAACAAGGTTCAAAATAATAGTGGTATATGTGATGACAACTTATTTAAAGAACTCGTATTCGTAATGTTCAGGAACTTGTGATGACCATTCTTTGTAAAACACTAATTGCCCATTACATCAGTTTTTCACAAATCCCAACGAAACAAAGCAATAGGCTTTGCCTAAATGAATAGCTGTGATGAAAGTCTGTTTTTGTATACTTTTTAAAATCTGTCTTTGCATAACTCACTCTTTATTCTTGCTCTGAACACAACATCAGCTGACCATCCCAACCATTTCTTTTATGAAAGTAACAACCTACGATATAGTTTGTGAGCCACAAAAGTTTGGTAACAATCTAAAATTTACGACTTGACCAGGACTGGAAACCTGTCAGAGAGAAAAAATAGCTCTGTTGCCTTTGGGCCTGATAAATTTACTTTCACTGAGGTCAGAGGTGGAAGCCAGCCCGTTTTTTTCTTCCAGTGTAGTAGTTTGAACGCATTCAATAACAAGTCCCCAGGCACCGTAGATACTAAAGATTTGGAGCAAGCTTTGAGGCCAATTTCAGGGAGGGAATTGTTAGAGAAATTGGAGTGGTCTTGAATTTAAAGCTGAGCTGTGCTTTTGGGGGAGTGGTGGTTTTGTGAGTTGCTGTTTTAGTTACTTGTGGTACATGTGGGTTTTAGTTACAGTGTTATGGGAATAAATATGGTTCTGAGAACTTACAAAAGGAGGAAAAACTGGAAAACATATTTAATCTTTTTCATAGTTTTGTTATTAAACATTTAAAGAATTGTTCTAATATTTAAGGGCATAGGTGGAGTTGAAAGCTTTGGTTAAACCTATTTAGTTCAAAAATTGCTTCAAAGTCAAGTGGCTGTGACATGTTTGCTTGGAAAAGACATGTACACAATGTACGTGCATTTTGCCTTGTTGTATAGGTTTTAATTTCCGTTCTGAATACCATTTGAGTTGTTATTTTGGTGATGTTGAAATCTTGTCTCAACATGTCATAACATGTTTTCAGAACAATCCATTGGCATGAAGTGAATCAAGTAACCACATTACCAATGCTAGAAAAACAAATGGAATTGTTTACATGACAGCCTGGCCTTGGAGAAATTTATGATTAAACATCTTATCTTGTTGCAGGCGATGTGGAGTGCAACGTAACGGTGTTCTCGTATCCCGAGATCGGTTCAACCAACGGCGTCAACTTTGACCAGCTCTCTGTTGATGAAGGGATCGACATGAGTGAGGTTGGGGCGCTGTGCACCATTGACGACATCCCTGCCAAGAAATTAAAGGTAACAGGCTGCATCATATGGTGTTTAATTTGTATTTCATATCTTTCATTGGTAGTGCCTGATACAGTTTCAGAGCAGAGTTTCCGACTTCTTGCAGAGCTCTTTTGTTGAAGGCATCTGACACTATCCTTTAAGAACTGGCATATTACACCGTCATGTAATTATCCTACCCTGTACACCTGTAAATGTTGTTGCAAAGTGCTGCAGTAACCTTGAAACTCAAAACCAACTGCTGTCATGATCATGTGTGATGTGGTGCGATGATGGTCAATCTCTTTTTAGTTGTGGTTTGGTGAAATCAGATATTGAGTGCAATAACCACACCACTCAAGGAAATCAAGATAAAGCATACATCTACATTGAACCTGCTACCCTTAGGACAAGCAGTAATACCAGTCTTTGGAGAAGAAAGATGCCATAGTTTGTATCCTATCTAGGTCATCTCTTCCCGAAGAGTGCAATTGCGAAGGGGGGGTCACCTTTTTTAGGTTTATCTAGCATAATGAATAACAGATGATGTGATTTCCCCTTAAATGACATATGATCAGTCTACCAGTATCAAGGTACCTTTCACCTTCACATCTGGGAAAGGTCTTCTTAAGTTGTCCACTTTCACTTTCAAATTGTCCTTACCCCTGCTCAGCTGTCTGACTTCTGATAGAAATTTACCACAGAATATGTGAAAGTACATGTACTAGTAGCACAAAAATATGCACCTCCCCAATTCCATGGTGGATTGCTTTCCCCCCCTTGCACTTGTTTTGGAATTCACAGCTGATTTTGTACATAACCACCAGTGATGTTTTAGAGCCCAGTGTTATGACAGACAGCGGTTAGCTTACACACTTGTGGTTTAAAGCCACAGGTTTTCAAATCTCCCATGTCTTCCCACACACCACTTAACTTTGTTAATCTGGTCAAACCTGCTAGGGTCATTCAACTCCCAGTGATTCGCCCGAGATCACCAGGGATGACCTCATTTCAACAACCACTGCCTCCACTTGTTTTGCAAGTTTTTTTATTACCCCGATGGAAACCTGCAATTGCACTGTACAAGCCAAACCCACCATGTTGTCTTGGATCCTGCTGGTGCCTCGATATCAAGGTCCTCCCTGGCCCGCCCAGCTTCTACAGTTGGCCCAGAGCCAGTTTCTGAGACCCTTCCCTCCCCCAATCACGACCTGTGTTAGAAGCAACAGGCGCCCCTAAGAGTTGTTTTGTTTCCTGATGACCTCATAAAATGGCACAAAGGTTTTTTTCACTGAGCGTACATGGGCAGAAAATGTTTTTTCATAAACTGAACCTCCATTAAAACAGGGCTTGTGCTCAGAGGTTGCATTTTGGTGAACGTAGGTAGCCGTAGAAGACATGAACCCAGAAGTTAGGAACAGTTGTGGAGGATAATTTTTTTTTTGACATGTGGTTTTTGAATTTCCAGCCATTCTAACAGGTTTTTAATGAATGGTTTGGCAAGGACAGGGTAAAAAAAATTACATTTTAAAAAATGAAAAATTGCCCTGAAGGTTGTGAGTGGCATTCTCATGTTACATGGTAAGGCTGAGAATGCTTGGTGTGAGTCTGGTATCTGCCTCTATCTAATTATGTTACCGTCAATCATCCCAATGCCAGGATCTGTGTTACTTCATACTCTGCTGAAAGACAGAATATGGGTAAATGTGGGTCATGTGGAGTCATGTGGTGCGTCATGATGACCAGGGGTTATGTTGCATCATTTGCAGGTGGGGGGGGGAATTGCAAAAGTCTGCTAGTCAGGTGGATAAGGCATGGTGATGAAAAGCAAAATACGTTGGGGGTGTGGTTTGAACTGTGATGGTGGGGGGGCATTAAAGAAATACTGAATACAAGAAAACAAGAAGAACCCAGTTCTACCTGTTAATCCAGTATGAATTGAACCATACAGGTATTTCTGATCCAATTAAGGAATTTCTTGTGGTAGCTGAATCCATCGACCACTGATATGATTTTGTCAGTATCAAATTATCATTCTCATCTTCCAGCCAATCGAACTTTCTTCTGCATGTGGGAGGAATGACTTTGAGTTTGATTCAGGGAAATGGCAATAGAGCCTGAAAGTTGACCCCTGATGGGGCACTTCTGGAACCCTTGGATAGGAAAAATAACATGTAAAGATTTTAGAATTTGTAATTTTTTTTGGTCAGTTTCTTCTTAAAAAGTCGAACTTGGAAAAAGGGCTTTGAAAAATATTTGCTAGAATATCAATTTATAGAAACTGATAAATTACCTGATCTAAAAGAGAAATATCCTGTCAAAAATTGACCCATCACTTCCGAAATTCTAAAATACATGAAGAACAGTGCAATGCAGCAGTCTCGTATGCAGATGAACATATACGGTTTGAAATGTTATGGTAGCCTACAGGTAAAGCCAAAATAAAAACAGATCAAAATATTATACACACTTTGATAATTTATAAGGTAAACTTAAAGCAATGTTCTACTTTTACAAAAAATTCTAAAATTTTATCTAACCTTTGCTGACAACAACTGCGTGATGTCAACTCAACGGAATCTGGAACCCATGGACTGCAGATAGGTAAATATTTGCAAGGTTGTACAATCTCGTTTTCAAGAAAGCACGGCGAGTGAAAACAAACGTGCACGAAAAAGGAGACCTAGGTACGATATCGCCGGAAGTGAAAGGTCATTAATAAAATTCGTTTCTCCGGGTGACTTTTCCAAAATATTACTTGAGGAAGACAAAGGTAAAATGCCAACATGAGTGTTTCATGGGGTGGTTTCAGTAAGGAATTATTTTTCCAAATATTATCCAACGTGATAGGATGGCCCAATGTAAAATCCCTATACGAGGACCACGCAAGGGTTCCGGCAGCTCGCTGCATGACCTTTTACTTTCAGGCTCTTTTGCTGCATTACTACCTTTTACCCTGTTATGGTAAAACCAAGGACTTCATGTTTTTTTCTGCTGGCTTGAGATCGCTCTCAATAAAACCTAATTCTATTCTCTTCAGGACAAAATCTGTGCACGCTAATTAGGAATAATAGTAATGGAGGTAATAAAGTAATTTTGGTATCCCCCTGAAAGATAAGCTTTGCTGTGTGTAAGAATAAATCAGACATCTTGGGAGACAAAAAACACATTTTAAATCAGTGATCCATTTATGAGGCAACTGACCTATTTCAGCAGCATTCAGCTGCCCTGAATGCTACACAAACACAGGATGTTTGGCCATAAATCATTTCTACTGAAAGGGTTTTTTCATTATCAGTTGTGAAACTTCCTCGGGAATGTTGTGGATACCATTATGTTTTATTTGCACAATCGGGACTCTGGTTTGGTGATAACAGAGGTTAGGTAGTCCCCGTGCTTCTAATGGTACAGTCCATGCTGCTGTTGTACCATTTGTGTCGTGAGATAAGGGACAAGGTAGTTCCATTCCTGAGAGCGTTGTTTTGGGTGAATGGCTTATTTGAGGGGCTATTGACATACTGAAGCTTATTTTTGCACAAATTCAGTGTCATTGTAGCCACATCTCAACATATTCAAGTAATGTAGTGTATTTATTAACGTTCACATATGGACAATGTGCTGTTACTGTGATTGGACGTCCTCCCCAGTGACTGTAGCTCCTACTATTTGTAGCTGCTAGTTGTAGCTCCAACTAAAACTGCTAGACCATTCATGAATTCTGTAATTCAGATTAATTAGTCAAGACAAGGTCCCAAAATAGTGTTTTGAGCACACACCATTGATAATGTAGTTTCAATGTATTGCCCCTAAGTAAGTAATTGACCACCCCTGTTTTTAAGTGGTACAAACTTGCAATAACTCTTCATGGCCAATGTAAGTCAAAACCCGTAGGGTGAAATAATTTACTCAAGGAGGGATGGAACTGTAGCTTGGTTGAGATTGGTCATTTAGTTGTGTTTACAAATCTTGAGTAAAAATGACCAAATCTGCCATCATGAACCACAACATCCAACTCACAAAATAGAAATGGTTTCCAGTGGAAATGGACTTAATATTGAGGTATGCTTGAAATACACAAATAGAAGAATAATGACTAACTCAATCATCATACCTGTCATTTTTGGCCCTCTTTAATAATAACCACTTTCTAATTCTCACACATCACAGCTTTGATACATGTATCTACCAGCTCCATGGCCCCTGGGAATGGCATACTGTAGGTTAGATCAGAGGGGCCAGAACCAATTCACTGAACAGCAACAACAAAGTGTTTTACATACGAATCAGTGGGGTGCAGGTACTGAATGGAATAGCCCCAGGGGTCTTCCCTTTAAGCAGGTGGTGTTTATTTTTAACCCAGCACAAGTAAAATAATTGTGCTACATTGTATTACAATGTAGTACTATTTATGCTTCAGTGGTACATGTAGAGCATATGTTGTATGTGTACTTAAGGTGAATAGACCTTTTTCATTCTAATTCATTCTGAAAAGGAGTAAAGATATGTGTAGAAATAGATTTTGCTGCAGGCAATTTTTGATTTATTAGGAGGTTTACTGTTGATTGACTACAGTCACATGACGACATATCCTGAAATGGTTGGTTTGCCTTGCTTTGTAAGTTTGTATGGGCTGTTGGTTGTGGATAAGTGAAGCCATTGAATTAGGAAACATGCTTGTAGACTCTAATATCACCAGTACTCATTGGTTGATACCATGAAGCCCCATGCTGTTACAAACCTTCTTCGTGAGCTTCACCTTCTTAGGGAATAATTTAGGTCACAGAAACAAAACACAGTACATGTACATGAATAGGGAAAAAGGAATTTCAGCAAAACTAAAACAAACAGTAAGTAATGAGTAACCCGAACAAGTTGCAGTAAAAAAGGTTGCCTTCCTCCTCTTGTAGAAATTTGTTTTCCAGTCACTTGGAGTTTTTGTTTCTGTTTTGACAAAGAATTCTAGTTCATAATAGTCATTTATCAGTCCTTGTGTTGGTTAGGAAAGCAAGTGTTGGCTGTTCTGTATATGT